TTAAACTATGGAGGGGGCACCGCACATGGCTAAGAGAATAACAGTTGTGTTTTGGGGTGCCCCCTGCCCCCGTATATAAAGGAGGGAGGAGGAGGAGGCCGGCCAAGGAGGGGCGCGCCTATAGGGGGAGTCCAACTAGGATTCCCAATCCTAGTTGGAGTCCCCTTCCTTTTCCAAGAGGTGAAAGGGGGAAAGAGTAGGAGAGGGAGAAGGAAAGAGGGGGGGGCACCGGCCCCCTCCTAGTCCAATTCAGACCAGACAAGGGGGGCGGCCACCCTGCGACCCTCCTCTCCTTTCTGCTAAAGCCCATTAAGGCCCACTACTTCCCCCGGGGGGTTCCGATAACCTCTCGGTACTCTAAAAAATGCCCGAACCTTTCTCAAACCTTTCCGGTGTCCAAACATAACCTTCCAATACATCAATCATTATGTCTCGACCATTTCAAGATTCCTCGTCATGTCCGTGATCTCATCCGGGTCTCCGAACAAACTTCGGTCATCAAAATCACATAACTCATAATACAAATCGTCATCGAACGTTAAGCGTGCGGACCCTACGGGTTCGAGAACTATGTAGACATGACACATCTCCGATCAATAACCAATAGCGGAACATGGATTCTCATATTGGCTCCGACATATTCTACGAAGATCTTTGTCGGTCAAACCGCATAACAACATACGTTGTTCCCTTTGTCATCGGTATGTTACTTGCCTGAGATTCTATCGTTGGTATCATCATAGCTAGTTCAATATCGTTACTAGCAAGTCTCTTTACTCGTTTCGTAATGCTTCATCTTGTAACTAACTCATTATTCACATTGCTTGCAAGGCTTATGGTGATGAGCATTACCGAGAGGGCCTAGAGATACCCCTCCGAAACACGGAGTGACAAATCCTAATCTTGATCTATCCAACCCAACAAACACCTTCGGAGAGACCTGTAGAGCATCTTTATAATCACCCAGTTACGTTGTGACGTTTGATAGCACACAAGGTGTTCCTCCGGTATTCGGGAGTTGCATAATCTCATAGTCAGAGGAACATGTATAAGTCATGAAGAAAGCAATAGCAATAAAACTTATCAATCATTATGCTAAGCTAACGGATGAGTCTTGTCCATCACATCATTCTCTAATGATGTGATCCAGTTCATCAAATGACAACACATGTCTATGGTCAGGAAACATAACCATCTTTGATTAATGAGCTAGTCAAGTAGAGGCATACTAGGGACACTTTGTTTTGTCTATGTATTCACGCATGTATCAAGTTTCTAGTTAATACAATTCTAGCATGAATAATAAACATTTATCATGATATAAGGAGATATAAATAACAACTTTATTATTGCCTCTAGGGCATAGTTCCTTCAATACGCATTTGCAGCGTCTGTATCTCCATCTGAGACCCCCAGTTTTGGCCCTTCGTGGTCCAGGAGACGAGCCTCATGGGGGTTTCGGATCTGAATTCCGGAATTTCCGCGCACTTAGTGCGGCACGGCTCAGTGATATAAAACCACTCATGTTGCCAGATTTTGACGGTCTCCACGAAGGCCCCCTTGGGCCACGTGGCGTTGGACAGCTTGCTGATCATAGCTCCACCGCAGTCCACAGGCTACCCGTCGACCACCTTCGGCTTCACATTAAAAACCTTGAGCCACAGGCCGAAGTGTGGGTGGATGCGGAGGAGAGCCTCACACACGACGATAAATGCCGAGATGTGGAGGAAAGAGTTCGGGGCTAGATCATGGAAATCTAGCCTGTAGTAGAACATGAGTCCACGGACGAATGGGTGGAGTGGAAAACCTAACCCTCTAAGGAAATGAGGAAGGAAGACGACCCGTTCGCCGGGCTATGGAGTGGGAATGATCTGTCCCTTGGGGGGATCCTGTGCGCGATGGTGGTGGCGAGGTATCCCGCACTCCAGAGGTCCTTTATCTCCTTCTCCGTGATGGAGGAGGCCTCCCACTTGCCTTTGGAACCGGATCCGACCATGGTCGGAGGAGGTGGTGGTGGTGAAAAAGACGAAGACTTTTCATGTGCTGAGAGCTTGGGAGATTGGAAGGCAGAGGAGACTGGAAGGCGTGGGGAAGAAAAGAGGAATCTACTGCCCTCTTATAGACGGTAAAAATGCCAACCGTCCCTCCACTTGCGCCTTGAAACTTGCCTATTCCCAATGAAAGCGTGCGCCGTAAACGGTTGAATTACCCAAATTTTATGGATGAGCAATCCCGTATTAAGTGGGCACTATCTCTGTTTTGACAGGACGGGCCAATGGGGCGTGGCCTCAAACCACGGAACGCGGGATGAAAAAATGGTTCAAAACATCGAAGCGTCAAGTCTGACGCTTCACCAAAAAAAATTGTCAGTAAAAGACACTATTCTTATTTTTTATATCCTGCCTTCGTGGCTAAAGGTTGTGTTAACTATGCAAAGCCGGACACAGTTCTCTTACGAAGGAAACTGATGTGTATTATTGAAGGAACCTGCCTTGCAATGCCGAAGATAATCCATGCGCCGAACACGCTGTCATTGAAGACTGTTCAGGGGCTACAGTGGGAGTCCTGGACTAGGGGGTCCTCGGGCGCCTGGTCTATTGGATATTGGCGGACTGATGGGCCATCAAGATAGGAGACAGAAGATCACCTCTCGTGTCTGGTAGGGACTCCCCTATACGTGGATGGCAGGTTTAGGTGTCTGGATATGTTATTTCCTTTCTATTAAACCGACTTTGTACAACCCTAAGCCCCTCCGGTATCTATGTAAACCGGAGGGTCAGATCGGAGGCAGGATCACAACATTACTAAGCTAGCCAAACTAGGGTTAGCCAATACGATCTCGTCGTAGATCAACTCTTGTAACCCCTATTCCCTTCGAATATAATCAAGCAGGAGTAGGGCTTTACCTCCATTAAGAGGGCCCGAACCTGGGTAAACACTGTGTTCTTTGTCCATTGTTACCATTGGTCCT